ATGATTGCGAGATCCTTTATCACCCAGGGAAGGCCAATGTGGTGGCCGATGCGCTTAGCCACAAGGCAGTGCCGATCAGAGATGTGTGTATGAGGATGACGGTGGTGACCCACTGTTAGAACAGATATGGGAGGCTCAGTAGGAGGCTACGAAAGAGGAACATCGGAAGAGAGAACGTGTAGTGGGTCAGGTTTCCTCCTTCGATTATTATAGCTGAGGATTATTGACACTACACCGTAGGGTGTGGGTACCGTATCATGGGGGTGTGCGTCAGGTTCTGTTGGAGGAGGCGCACAAATCCCGATTCTCCATTCATCCCAGGGCGACGAAGATGTATAGAGATCTTTGTCTAGACTATTAATGGCACTGCATGAAGCGCGATGTGGCATGGTACGTGGAACGATGCTTGACCTGCAGGAAGGTCAAGGTCGAGCATTAGAGACCTCACAGCAAGATGTAGCCGTTGGATATCTCGTTATGGAAATGGGAAGATATCACGATGGATTTTATCACCAAGCTTCCCAGGACCACACGGGGAGTGGACTCTATATGGTTCGCCCACTTCATACCGATCCCGGAGAGTATCTCAGCAGAGAAGCTGGCCGATATCTACATCCGAGAGGTGGTGGCACAGAACGGAGTGCTAGTCTCCGTGATTTTAGATACAGACGTATGGTTTAATTCCAGGTTTTGGAAGAAGTTCCATGACGAGCTTGGTACTCATCTGCATTTTTGCACCGCTTTTCACCCACAAACAGATGGTCAGAGTGAGCGGACCATCCAGACTCTGGAAGATATGTTGCGGGCGTACGTGTTAGATTTCAGTGGTAGCTGGGATACTTATCTTCTTTTGGCCGAGTTCTCATACAACAACATCTACCACGCAAGTATTAACCGTCCTCCCTTCGAGATGTTGTAAGGGAGAAGGTGCACGACCCCGATATGTTGGGGCGAAGTTGGCCAGAGGGTCATGGGGAGCACCGAAGTGGTGCTCAAGACGACCGAGAGGATTCAACAGGTACAAAGTAGGCTTCAGACTGCTTAGAGTCGGTAGAAAAGGTATGTATTTTTAATCTAAGTATTTTTGGCATTTTTAGCTGGAACTCGGCGAGTTGTAGTCCCAACTCGCCGAGTAGAGATGAGATATTGAGCACGTTTAAGTTGGCAACTCGGCGAGTCCATATCCTGGACTCGGCAAGTCCATATGTCTGGATGAAACCCTAATTTCAAAGGTTTGCACCCTATTTAAACATCTTTTTATGCCCTATAACAACCCCATTACGTCCAGAACACTCCCTCACGAAGCCCTAACCCTTTTTCTAGTAATTTGAGTGCTTTTGGTGCATTTCCTTGAAGTTTTGGAGAAAATAAAAAGGTAGATCAAGAGGAAAGGAAGAAGATTCAGAATCTTGTGCCATTTCAGAGCTTCTAGAATTAGACTTGAAACCCTCTCTGTTCCTTCATTATTATCTCCTTAAGAGCTTAAGATAGTCATTTTAAGGCCTCTTTTAGTCTTGATCTTTGAGTAATGAGCTTATAGTGTTAAAGGACTTCAGATTTAGGCATGATTGAGCTCTAGGAGCTCGGATCTATTGCCTTTATGAGCCTAACTTGTGTATAAGTCCTAGATCTACTCTTCTAGTCCTTGTTAAGCCTCTTATTTCCCTTTTGGTGCATGAATACACATAAAGTTGGAAACTTTACATGTAAAACCTACCATAAGAACCAATATCTATGAATGGAATGCATTGAACTCAAGTAGAATCGAGTATATAGTAATTGCATGCATGCGACTCAGTAAGTCGTTCTTCGGACTCGACGAGTCGAGTAGCGAGTCCCTGTTTTTCCCCTTTTGAGTTACGCTGAGTGGGATCAGTGAGCTATAAGTGGACTCAGTGAGTCGGAAGCCAGACTCAGTAATGGAGGGACTCAGCGAGTCAATGCCTTGACTCGGCAAGTTCAAGGCAATCGTCTTGCCTCAAGAACAGACTCGACGAGTTGTTCATACAACTCGGCGAGTCACGGACCAGAGTGTTTATCGGATGGAGATGAACTTGACGAGTTGTTCATACAACTCGGCGAGTCGATTGAAGGACTATTGGATATCTGTTTAGAAGGAGATCTCGTCGAATCAATGCCTAACTCGACGAGTAGGGTCGAGAGTGAGGACAACTGACTGGATAAGGACTCGACGAGTTAGCGAGCCAACTCGACGAGTCAGGTCAATTGGAAGTTGACTTTTACTTTGACTTTTGATTTGGCCATGGGTAAAATGGTCATTTTACCCTAAGGACAGTTAGCAGTGTTTGATTGAGTGTTTCTTGGGAATTACAGCTGGAAGATTTCTGGAGCAGCAGACAGATAGTTCCCGCTCAGATCAGCAGCTACTTCGAGGTGAGTTACCTTCCAGTAGCGGTGGGTCTACGACCATAATGTCGGCCCACCAGTAGGAGTAGTGTGTTAGATGATTATCTTTGTGATATCATCTAGTTTTGCTACTACCTGATATGTTATGTGCTAGCTTGATGTGTTATAGTAGTAGAGTTCGGTTGCTAGGACCGAAGGGTAGTCAAACACCCCAGATACGTCTAACAGTATGTGATGTCATGATTATATGCTAGTATGATCTGAGATATGTGTTAGGGGTAGTATGGGGAACAGTCCCCGAGTTCGGTTGTTAGGACTGAAGGGTGGTCGACACCCAGAATGGCCGCACGGGTTGGTCAGCACCCCAGAATAGCCGTACCGGGTAGGTCAGGCACCCTAGAAATGCCTGACAAGTATGGTATGTTATATGATTGTACTGTATGTTATATAACTGTATGGTATGTGGTATGTTGGGGGAACTCACTAAGCTTTGTGCCTACAGTTTTCAGTTTGGTTTCAGGTACGTCTTCATCAAAGGGGAAGGAGCTGGCGCGGTAGCGATACATCATACACATACATTATTTTCCGCCTTACGAGACTGTTCTGGGATTTGTATTCTGATATTCAGTTAAATTCGTATTTTGGTTTTCAAACACGATATATGACTATGAGATGATTTGATCATACAATGTTTTATTTACAAATGTTTTTCCCAAGTATTGATTTAAAAATGAAATTTTTGGACGTGAAAATTCGGTTGTTACACCAATGATTTTTCTTTTTGTAGAAGGCACACTCATCATAAGCAACCCTTGGAGTTTCTCGAGACTAATTAGTGGAAACAGCAAGCACAACATGAGTGGAAGTAGGAGTAGATGTTGCTTTAGACCCTTTATCCCCATGAGACTTGATACGAGTTTCTTCAACAATCAACTCATGAAAAATAGAGTCCACTTAGGGAAGGGGGAACGATGAAGAATCGTTCCACATATGCCTTCAAAATCAAAATGTAAGGCCATCAAAAACTAAACCAAACGTTGTTCTTCCCTCATAGCAATATAAGGCTTAAAATCTTTTAACTCTTTAGATATAGTAAGAGCGAATTGATCCCACAAATCAGACATATTGGCATAGAAATCTTGAATACTCATGTCATTTTGTTGAAGGGCATGAATGTCATCTTCTAACTGATACTGTTTAGAAAAGTTGGACTGAGTAAACAATCTCTTCAAATCATTCCAAACTTACCAATGGATTTTGTAACATAATTATTAATCCAAGTAATAACCTTGGAGTTATCAATTTCCAAAGTATCAACCAACAAATCGAAATTCTCAGCTTGAGGCACTGAACGTTTGGTTTTACCCCATTAACATAGACCCACATTTTCTTCTCATAAAGGAAGTTTTTCATAACATAACTCCAATACGTGTAATTTTTCTCATCTAATCGTATACCGATTGACTAAAGGGAATCATCATTTCCAGTCATGTTGGTAACAGATTGATAACCACAACAATAATCGACAAGCAATCAGAGAACAAGAACAAAAAAACAACGAAAGCAGCAAATCGAATAAATAGAAATCAAACCAACAGAAGAGGCAAACGAACGACAACATCAAACAAATAGCAACAGTAAACCTAGAAAACATTCTAACAACACATCAAATCTCAGCTCTGATACCATGAAAATTGAACAATATTCATATTTGAAGAAGAGAAAAGCTAGTTCTTCATTAGAAAGTGTTGAAAAGCTACAAACTAAATGGAAGAGGAAAAATACAAGGGGAACTAAACCCTAAAGGTTAAATTAAAAAAAGTAAACAAGTTGGCTAACATGAAAACAAACAACTGGGCTAACATGAAAACTATGGGCTAACAACCATTACTTATGCTCAACTGAATAGGCCTCATTGATTTAATTTGTGTATTTTTCTATTCCCTGTTTAATGAGTTTTTTACTCTCCCGTTGTTATTAAGATTTGGGCCTTTCTACACATAATGAGAAATTAAATATCCTCTACTCTTCTTATCCTAAAAATAATGATATATGTGAATTCCATTAAATTTACGGTTCCACTTTTTTATTTTCACATTTGTTTTGATTTAGCAAGTAAAAAAATTGATAGGAAACAAAAATACAAGGGTATATTAAAATCATCAAATCAAAGCCCAATTAGACTCCTTATGAGCTCTTTAAAATAAGTTCACCTCTCGTAATTATTTTATCAGTTATAATAAGAAGAAATTCCAAAAATCAAACAGACTAGTCGAACAAGAATGAGTCAATCAAAGATTCACTCATTTTGTCAATTTTTTTTTCCTATTTTCATCAGACTTTTAACAAACAAAACGAAAATAAAAAAAATGACTAGAATATGCAATCGACAGTTATCATATGGAATGAAGTAAATTTAAAACCGAGACTCTACGAAAATAAAAATAAAAATTAAATGAATTAAAAAACAAAGACTTGGCAATGGTTTACCCGAGAAAAAGCAAACAGAAATAGTCAAAAAAAAATGCCATCATATTATGACGTCATTTGTACCACCATGCATGCATTTGCAATACAAACCTTAAAATTGTAGCATTTAAATTTATTAAATTTAATCAACAATGATTAATTAATTAACCACTAATATGTACCCAATTAGTTCTACTGGGAATTCCATCATATACAACCGACAACTGGTAATACCCTGGTGGCGCCACCTCAGCCGTCGCCGGTACTGAACACACCACTACATAATTCTCGGTAAATCTCCGCCGTATCTCCGCCATCTCCAAAATCAACACCCTTTGGTTCATGGAAAAAGAATGAGTAGTAAACGACGGCGCCACCATAGTCACGTACACCTTTCCACTTTCCAACTCCTTCCCATTTCCCCTCCACCGGAAATTAACCGCAATTTTCTGTTCGTAAACCAGATTCACTCCCGGTTTAATTCCGGTGATGTTGGGTCGTAATTTTGGGCCGAGTAAATATGGCGGATAGAAAGCTTCGACACTAAGCTCCGTCGGGAACATCGCCGAGAAATTATAGTTGGCGTTCGGATTACTCCCGCCGACGATAACACGGCCATCTGAGAGCAAATGAGCACTAGAATGATACATCCGGGGAATCGTCGTTGGGTTCATGGTGTTGAATTTTCTTGAAAAAGGTTCGTATAAAACAGGGTGAAGTACAGGTTCTCTCGCCATATCCCACCCGGCGGCGCCACTTGCAGCGCCGTTTATAATCAAAACCTCACCTGTTGGTAACAATAACATGTCCCCCATTATTCGTCTGATCGGCATTTTTGTCATTTCCCATTGTGGATCATCATCGTTTAATCTCAGCCGTCCACAGCTCTTCGTCGCCGGCACAAATTCATTACCAATAGCTTGATCAACGGCGTCCGGGACTGTTCCACCGCAAACAAAAACCTCCGCCACCGGAGGACTGGTTTTGGTGCTACCGGAAAGATTCAATGGAAGCAAAACAGATGAACCAGTGCTCGGATAGTTACGAGATACTCCACCGGGTATCACCGGATACTTCCTTACCACCTTGTTGTGAACGTAATCAAGTAATATTGCACGATCGTTGGCGAAAATGAAGAGGTTTCCATCGGGGTTGAGATGGATAAACGGGTAGAGATTGTTTTGGAACTGGTCGGATCTTAACGTTTCTTCAAGAAATGGAAGTTGGAATTCTTTGAAATCTTTACCTGAATTCGAGCTTTTTGGAATGAATTCATAAGTAAACTGCCGTCTACCTCCGACAATGATCACTTTTCCGTCCGGCAACAACTGGTTTGAAGCATACCATCTCGGGGAAACCAACGCATTTCGAGTCTCGACCCAATCACAGTCTTCACAAGGACTAATCGTTCGAATAACCCTTTCGCCGTCGTTATTCCCACCGGACTGAATCAAAACACCGTCGGGCAACAAGGAACCGGAAGAACACCAGGTGTCGGACAAAATGGTGAGTGGACGAACCCCACGTTTTGAAGGATAGAATTCAACGGAATGCGCGTAACAATCCAGAATGGGAGGACATTTCTCTGCTGGAAAGGTGATGTTTGAAGGTCCGAAATCTGTTCGATCAAAGGTGATGATACGATCATTCGGTAAGAGTGCCATATGCATGGCGGAAACACCAATGCTCTTCTTCAAAAGCTTCCATTTTCCTTTTGTTGGATCCTGCAATGATAATGATGAAGGAACTGTTAAGAGCAATAATATTATGACAACTGACGCCATTAATTGTGTGACGATGGAGTTTGGAGAATGGAGAAGGGATCGAGGATGAGTGAGGATAGTAATTGAGATATATATAGAGAAGGATGGTCTTGAAAAGTCAAATGGTTTGTTGGTTTTGCAATGAAAGCTCTTAAAGCCACTTCGCTCAGATGTTTTGGCCGATTCTTGAAATTATTGGAACCATGCAACTAAATTTCACTAGTGGCACTTTAATGGTCAAATTTCATCATCAACTTTCTGCATGTTAAATTTTCACTACCCGGCACTTTAATGGCTTGGGTCTTTAATTAAAGGGTGGTAATTAATGACACATCTGGATAAAAATATAAGGTACCAAACAAAATTGAAATCATAAAGGGTTTGTAGTTGTATCAGGTGGTGCCCTCTCTTTTTGAGGTCGAAGGTTCAAGTTCCGTCGTATACATAAATGGAATAGGTGTTGTTATTTTAGGATTAGATTTGATTTGCCGGTTAAAAAAAAAAAAACAAAATTGGAACGTAATTTTATTTAAATTTGTATTTGTGCCGTGTCCGTGTCAAAAGTAAAAACAAGATGCTATGTTCATGTTTAAAATTCGATACGAAATTAACATGATTTGGCATCTCTTGTCGTATTTTTCTTGTTTGTCGTGTTATTTATGATTATATATTAATTAAATAAACTAATTGCTATTTATTTAACATATATCGTGTCATGTTGTGTTAGTTGTTTTTTATTGGTTTGTTACATGTTAGTAAAAAAACTATGATATCATGTCATGTCGTTTTGTGTTACAAAAAATATTATCATGTTATTTCGTATAAAAAAAACAAATGATATAATTGTTCGATTTGTAACCCACTTACGGGTCAAATTACACTACTAGTACATGTGCTCTCTCAACTAGATTCACACTAAATAATGACCATTTTTTTGTTGAAATGTGTATTAATTTGCATCTGAATATACATTAAATGTGTTTATATGCGCATTTATACTTTGACTTTTTTGTGTTTTTTTTAAAGTTTTCAAGTTATAATTCTCTTAAATGATATTCATAGATCACTTGGTTGCATTGATTTTGAAAAAATCTTAACTATCTTATAAAACATATTAAACATTTCTTTAATTTTAAGAGGTATAATTTCTACAACACCATATATAACCTTTTTATGCGGCTAGCATTATCCCATATCTCTATGCCTTTCTTGCCCAATCATACGCTTTGATCCTGAAAATATCGTAAAATTCAATTATGAAATATTGTATCCCTTCCTCGATAAGGTTTATCCGATAAATCATCTCATTCTTCAACTGCGGTGTAGGGTTTGGTTTTGGCTACTGCCCCTATAGCCTTTCAGACCCTATTGTTATTCCACAAGTATACATTCCAAAGTAATCATCAAGTTGAGAAATCTAAACACAGAAAGATTGATACATCGGAGCTCGAGGAAGGAGGGGCAGTTGGAATCAAGAGGATATGCTCCCCTCCTCGTTCTCTCTAAATACCCTAGATACCACCAACAGCCAAAACTATTATCGTCACTACTGATACGTATTTTCGAACCCTAAAAACTAACCAATTTCGCTCCCAAATCCGTGCTTTTCCTGCCCTTTGTTAATCACCATATTGAAACTTTAAATCCTCTACTAACTGAAACCCTACTTAAGGAAGAAGTCCTTGATACGTATCTGCTACATCGATATTGGTTACGAAGGTAAGATTAATTTATGTTTCTCTCGATTTTGGTATTTTGAAATTTGTTTCTTTGTCTCTGTTCGACTTCATTGTTAGGGTTTTCACTATGATAGGATCAACCACCCATGACTCGTTTGTTTATCTATTGCACCACCATTAATGTGACATCCCTATTTTCACGGCCAGAAAAAACCGGTTTTGTTTATGCTTTATAAAAATCAGAGTACCCCTTTTAATAAAAATATTGCGGAATTTGTTCCTAGTAAAACATGATAAATACGTTATCAAAGCATTTCCGAAGAAATGTATTTTTATTCATTTTAAAACATTTGGGATGTCATTGTCAATACAAAAACATAAGCATAAACAGATTTTACATCCATTTACACTAGTAATCTATACCTCTTTAATCTCTTAGTGTAATATAACTTCGTATTGGCACATGTCATTTAAATAAGCTTGAGTGGGCCAAGTTGGAAAGTCTGGTGAGTACATAGGGTTTTCAACCCACAATAATATAATTATTATGTTTAAACATCAAACAATCAACCCAATTACCCATCCCCGTTATCTTCTTTACTCTTAAGGATCTACCCTAAGATTCAGCTACTCCTTGTTCATTCATTCCTAAGGATCATCCTAAGGAATTGGCAAGAAGTCCATCGTTACCAAGATTTCCAGATTATAACTGGTGAACACGTAATCCAAAACATCTAGTGAACACTTAGTTTAAAAATAACTAGTGAACACACTTAGTTTAAAAATAACTAGTGAACACACTTAGTTCAAAAATACCTAGTGAACACACTCAGTTCAAAATACCTAATGAGCACCTAGTTAAAAAAACACCTCCAGGTTACGAGCCTGCTAGCGTTCCACTGGACGGTCTAGTATAGTCTGTGGTCGTCATCTATACTCCACTAGATGACTGGATCAGTGTCAACATTGATGTGTTTCATCGTGTTATCACACAACAACTATTTTATCTACCCATGTTTTACCCAACACATTTTGTAGATATAAAATATATATACAATTTAAATCATTTAAAACATGTATAAAAATCTTTCACCCAGCATAGACAGCAAGTATTTAGACAATATGCACACATAACACGTGGTGATTCCAAACTCAGACAACGCTTTGCTTCTTGAAAATAATTTCCTTCGACGAAACCTAGTATTATTACCACTAGGTTTTAGTCTAATAATTACCGTAACTAATTATTAGCCTTATTATTATTATTATTATTATTATTATTATTATTATTATTATTATTATTATTATTATTATTATTATATAAGCGTTTAAACAATATTTTCCAACCACTATGTATAGATAGAGGCCAAACATAAAACACCGGAGGGCAGGACCATTTTGATATATAGCACTTCTGAAATCCAACAACCCTATGCGGCCCTTTAAACCAAATTCCCCGTACTGCGAGTAGTTAAAAAGATATTACAACGACACTTATATAAGTAATAATTATGACAACTCGAAATTTCTATCTTGTTCAGTTATACAAATCAATCAAGTTCATACTTTTGTTTGCTATCTTCTTGCATTGTTTAGAGTCAATTAGAGTGTTCTAAGCCTTGTACCTTCAATGTTAGGGCTTAGAAATGAGTTCCACAAGTTCAACACTTCACAAAATGGCCAAACACTCCAACTTGATGAGTGTACGGACATACACTTGGGTGTACGGCCGTACACCCCTCCTCTGGCCGTACACTTTGGGCTATAAAGGTGGGACTCAGCCTTCATCCAATCCTTTTCATACTCCTAAGCCAAGAACTCGTTTTCTATCAACTATCATCCAATTTTTCATGGAGTTCTTCAAGATTGTAAGTGTTTCTTTCCATGAAATGATGATTCCTTTCACTATCTTCTATGGATCATTGATTTCCTCCTTGAAATCACTTCATTTTGGTAGATCTTCAAGTGTTCTTCAGTTTCACCAAGAACACCTACTAAGTTCTTGGACCTCAAACACCCCTAAAGGCTTTTATATCATAAGTACTACTTCCAATGCTTGTTACTAACTAGATATACCCCTTAGAAATCGTCTAGAGCATGATCATCAAGGAGTGTACGGCCGTACAAACCCCATGTGGTTGTACACCCTTTTGTTTAGTGCTTATTGGCCTCAAACTCATGTTCTATGCTAGCACATGATCAAGAACACTTAGAGGATGCAAGATATATCCTTGAAAAATGATTTTTGACCATTACTTCATGGAGTGTACGACCGTACACTCCTTAGCCATACACACCTGGCCATACACCCAAGTGGTCATACACCTGGTGACCGTACACATACTTGTGTGGCCGTACATCCATTTGATGCAAACTTTGGCCCTTATAACACTTCAATATAGGTGTTTCCTAAGTCCTAAGGTGTTTTCCTTTCATGATTAGATGTATAAGAACTAATTATGTACATATATGTGTCATTATGTGCTAAATAGGATCCGTGTGTGTGCTCAAGTTCTCACTTGACACCTAGCATCCTATACCACTCTTCCATCCAAACCACTCACTGCAGGTGAGTTCATACCCCTTAACCTACCTTTTAAATTATTTAAAAATGTTTTCATGAGGGGGGGGGGATACAAGTTGAACTTTATAGTTATTGAATCAATCACATGTGAATAATAACTATCAAACATATGGATTTCATATACTTCAAAATGTTTATCAAACAAATCTATTTCAAAACATGTTATCAAACTCTTGTACATACTAAACTCTTTATCAAACTTGTTTTATATGTTAAACCTTTCCTTTAAACTCTTTTAAACTTATATATTGTTAAAACCATGTCTATACATATATAGTTATATAAATAAGGTTGGAAGGACTTAGGACTGATAACTCACTTTATTTTTTGTTCCTTGTTTGGTTGTGGACTTAGAGTACCCTGTTGTTTGTCCGAGTGTCATTTGACCCTTAGTTATATATTATGTATATATGTATAGATATAAAAGATTTTACCTCAATTACAACATCTTTGGGTAGCAAAGGCGTATAAACATACTCAGTCATTCAAACAACGTTACTAGTAAACTATAATAGGTATAGGTTATGATATTACAATTCACTACTTCTAGTACAACGAAACATACATGAGTCAGTGCATACATGAGTCAATACAAACATACCATTAGGAGAAACTAAGACAACATATTATACACTATACAGAGAGAACATACTACACTATACGGAGAGAACATACTACACTATACAGACAGAGCATACTATACATATACAAGAACACTATTGTAACATCCATAAAATTCAAGCCAATTTAAACTTTTC